ATAAACATTTCTTTTGCAACTCTAGCTCTAACTCTTACAAATAATTAAATAATAAACGCTTAAATTACTTGTAAAATTTAAATTTTTTGTTTTTTTTGTTTTTTGTTTTTTATTTTTTGTTTAAATCTTTTTTATTATATTTGAGTTTTATGTTGTTTTAATCATGTTTTAAAACCTAATGTACTTTTACCATCAATAACTATTCTCATTTTAAATGAATATTACATCCATTAGAACCACAAGTAATACCGCTAAATGTGGAGTTTATAGGGCTAAGATTAAGACAACCAAAAACCTTAAAGCAGTCTCTTCAATTCGGTGTAATTGCCAATTCTTTTGTGAATTTATTATTATCTTGTTCGTAATGCCATCCTCTTCTAATCGGTATTATATCTAATTCAGTTTTTGATTTAAGATTTCTTTGTGATTATTATCACCCTTTTCAAGTGGGTGTTTTACAAGAATCTCTCACCAAAGTAACCTTTAGGTACATATTTGGTCAACTTACTATTCCAAAATTTTATATCAAAAAAAAAATTTTAATTTTTTAAATATTATTAAAAATTTGACCGGTTTTTACTATATGAGATATTTAATTTTTTTAATTTTTTTTAAATTTATTTTTTCATAAAAATTTATTCATATTTTTTTAAGAAAAAATAATTCAAAACAAAATTTTTGATCAACCTATAAATATTAGAATGAATAATAATTATTATAATGACAGAATAGACAGTAATAATAATAATAATTATAATCACACACATAATTTAGAATCAATTACAAAAACAGATATAGATAATAATAATAAAAATGAAATATTATTTTTTTCAGTGTGGAGAAACAAGTATCTATTAAATGAAATACAAAGACATCACAGGTTATATAATGAAAATAAAATAATAAATATTGACAAATCAATGGATCAACTTAGATACCATCCACATAGAAGATATGCAACAGAAATTATAATTGATGTTGATGAACCATTAGAACCACATGGTCAATTAATACCCTATGGTACAACCAAATTAAAATTCTTATTAAAATTTTTTAATAGTTTTAATAAACCAATTCGATCAGGCGATATTCCAACAACTGTCACTTCTTTACAATTTTTAGCAAACAAATCAGGATTTAATAATGATTATTATTCTCATCGTTTCGATATTAAATCAGTTATCCCACCAAGTGTTACTCAATTGACTCTCAGTATAAATCAAAAAATTTCACCAAATACTTTACCACCATCGCTTACCAGTTTGACAATGGAACTAGATCAAGATATACCTATTGGAACTTTCCCACAATCATTAACTGCATTAAAACAAAATAAATTCAATAGAATAATTATACCTGGTTCATTTAGTTCAATTGTAGATTTATTCCTAGAATCCTTTAATCAACCTTTAAAAGCTGGTGACTTACCGATAACATGTAAACATCTATATCTTGTCTCTTACAATCAACCGCTCCAACCAAATATTCTTCCACCTCGATTAGAACTATTATTTTTATCACGCTTTAACCACCCACTATCATACGGTGTACTTCCAGAATCAATCGCTGAACTAAGCATGAACAAATTTGATCACCCATTATCCAACTCTGTATCAGCACTACATTCATTAAAATTACTCTCTTTACCAAGGTTTAATCAAGAGATATCAATCCAAACATTTCCACACTCAATCGAAACATTATTATTTAATAGTTTTAATAAAGTTATAAAACCAAATGTACTTCCACCATCAATAACTAGATTCAATTTAGATGCATATAACCACCCACCTTCAGATGGTGTATTTCCAGAATCAATCACTTTAATAAGTATGAACTTTAATCAACCATTATCCAACTCTCTATCAAAACTACATTCATTAAAAACACTCCAATTACAAAAATTTAATCAAGAAATAAAACCAAATGAACTTCCATCAATAAAAATTCTCTCTTTAAATAAATATAACCACCCACTTTCAGACGGTGTGCTTCCAGAATCAATCACTGTACTACGTATGGGAAACTTTAATCACCCGTTATCCAACTCTCTATTAACACTACATTCATTAAAAGTACTCGATTTACCATTGTTTTATCAAGTTATAAAACCAAATGAACTTCCACCATCAATAACTGAGCTCATTTTAAATGCATATAACCACCCATTAGAACCACAAGTAATACCGTCAAACGTGGAAAAGTTAAAGTTAACATCATACAATTGTAATCTTGGTAAACATTTATTCCCAAATACTTTACAACATTTAGTTATATCAAACCATTCAAAAGATTTATTTGAAAATGATTTACCATCATCAATTACAGAACTGTATTTCGAATCTAATATTGGTTATACTTTAAATCCAATTCGATTTCAAACTCATTCAATACCACCATCAGTAAAAAAATTAATACTCCCAATTAACCATTCCCAACCTCTTCAAGTCGGTACTATACCCAATTCAGTAGTAGATTTACAGCTACCCAAATACTATTCCCACCCTCTTCAAGTAGGTGTATTACCAGAATCTCTCACTAAACTTACCTTAAGAAAAGGATTTAATCAACCTATAGACCCAGCTACCATTCCACAATCTGTTACTCAAATATCATTACCTAATAATTATAAACGCCCAATTCCAAAATCTTTATTAAATATAAAATTAAATACTAGAGATTAAAAATTATCGTTATCCTCACTTTTTATTGATTATCTTTAGCGTATTCATTTTTATCCATTTTATAAAAAATTTGCTGATCCAAAATGCATATAACAATTTTTTTTTTAATTTAAAAAATATATAAAAAAATAAATAAATATTAATATTGCAAAAAAACAATTAAATAAATATTTATATTATAAAAAAATAAATAAATTCATTTAAAAAGTGAAATTATTGTTTTTTTTTTTAAAAAAAAAACAATCAAATAATAAAAACTTTTATAAATTTTCAATTTTTTTTTTAAAAATATTTTATAATTTTACAAATTATTTTTATCCTTTTTTATTCTTTTTTTAAATATTGGGATCTAATATTCCAATGTTTGTTGTTAAATAAATAGATTAAAACTAAAAAAAAAAATTTATATATTTTTCACCCCAATTTTTCATTTTTTTTCATAAAATTTAATTTTTTTTTCTTAAATTAATATTTTTTAATGAAAAAAATTCAAAGCAAAATTTTTTATCAAACTATAAATATTAAAATGAATAACAATAATAATTACAGAATAGATAGTAATAATAATAATTTAGAATCAATTATAAAAACAGATATAGATAATAATAATAAAAATGAAATATTATTTTTTTCAATTTGGAGAAACAAGGTTATATTAAATGAAATACAAAGACATCACAGGTTATATAATGAAAATAAAAAAATTTATA